AGACTGAAGCAGGAAGATCACTTAAGCCCAAGAGTTCGAGGTTACAGTGAGCTATGATCACACCACTGCACTCTAGCCTGGGTGACAGAGTAAGACTCTGTCTTTTAAAAAGAAAGAAAAATATTGACAGCAAATATTTACTATGTAGATGATATTAGATGTGGTTTCTTTTTTCGGTACTGGGACATAAAATGGTCAGATAGGTCCTTCTGATAAGAAATGGAGTACAATATATCTTGGAAGAATGTGTTTTGTCAGTAAGCCACCAACCTGATTTTAATGCTGAAGTATAAAGGATATGCAAGCATGCAAAAATAATTGCAGTAGAGGATGGAACATAGAGGAAAACAGAACATAGGGAAGGAGGTAATCCTCAAAAGAATTCATTGAGGAAATTTGTAAGAATTCTCAAGAAAACACCAGAGAAGTGGACGATAGTTCAGGGGTTATACTAATGTCCTGGTGTTAATACCAGTATATATAGAATATGGGGAACATAAAGCTTAATTAAGAGCTTGAGGCTCATGCCTATAATCCCAGCACTTTGGGAGGCTGAGGTGGGCGAATCATCTAAGGTTGGGAGTTTGATACCAGCCTGACCAACATGGAGAAACGCCATCTGTACTAAAAATACAAAATTAGCCGGGCATGGTGGTAATCCCAGCTACTTGGGAGGTTGAGGCAGGAGAATTGCTTGAACCCGGGAGGCAGAGGTTCGGGTGAGCTAACATTGCACCATTGCACTCCAGGCTGGGCAATAAGAGTGAGACTTCATCTCAAAAAAAAAAAAAAAAAAAAAAAAAAGAGTTTGGAGTCGAATGTCAAATATATTAGAGTATAACTTCCGGCTCCACCACTTACTAACAGTGTGACCTTGGGCAAGACACTTTTCCTCATCTATAAAATGAGGGTGAAAATAATGGAATCTATCACATAAAGTTGTGATAAGAATTGATATAATACATATAAAGTGGTTAACCGGTGTCTAGCACATAGTAAGTACTCAAAAAATGTTGGAAGTTATTTTTGTTGTTAATATGATTTTATCATCATTACTATTAGAAATCTTAACAATATTTAGTTAATAAAATCTAAGAGGTTTTGTATTTCCAAGTTGAGATCTGCAACTAGAAGTGAACTGGTAAATGCTCTTTAAGAGGAATAAACCTAGTAGAAGGAAAGAGAGATCACCATTGTGTGAAATACTGGTATGCCTATATGGAAATCAGTTAACTTAAAGGAAACATAGTGGAAAACAACTGGGAGAGGATAAAAGAAGTTAGAGAAATGATGTCACTGTGGAAATACACAACTAGTCCAACGGAATGTTTCTTGCTAAATAAAGACAACAAAAGTAAAACAGATTTATGATATATTTGTCTTATAAGAGGTTTAAACCATTTAGAAACATGGTAGATGGATTTCTTTGTCCCGGACATAGTTTTATCACCCAGAGGATTGTGGAAGCAGTAAGTAGTATTGCTAAGGAAGAATAAGCTGTATTGTGAGGAGTGATAGAAAGTTCAGAAAGGATTCATAACAGAAAGGTAATGCTAGAAAAACAGGCTAATTTATAGGAAAGTTTTTTATTTTTGTTTTTTTTTAATTCAAAAGAAAAACAGGTATCATTCTGTGGTCCAAAGCTCTGAAGAGGAAACAAAGATGAAGTGATGTTTTTCCTGCAGGCGAAGCAATATGACTGTGTTTCCATGAAGCATACTTCCATAGTAGTTTGACACTAGAGGAGTCTAAGTTGAAAAAAGTCAAATTCTCAGCCATTCTTTCTCCCTAGCCTCATCCCCTGCTGCTCTCTCCCCCACTCCATTCTGCACACAAACATTTATTTTTAAATATCCAGTAACTCCCTGTAGTTACTTCTCTAACCTTATCTCATCCTATTCTACCTGCTTGCTTACTCTGCTCCAGCCACACTGCTTACCTTCCTGTTCCTCAAACACACTCGGTAGGCTTTAGCCTTCGACTCTTTGCACTGGCTCTTTCCTCTGCCTGGGATGCACGTCTGTCAGGGATTCACATGAATGTCTCCCATCTCCTTCAGTCTTTGCTCAGATGAAACCTACCCTGACCACCTTCTTTGTCCCTTTTGTTCACAGATTTATCATACATACCTAGAACAGTTTGCTGACACATAGTGGGCACTCAATAAGTATTTGAATGGATGAATGCTTTCCCTCATATTTGTATCTGCCTTCCCCCCACCCTCTATCACAGTGTTCCTTCCTTCCCTTTCCTGTCTACTTGGCCATTTATTTTGAGTAGAACCCTATGTGTTACCTCTGTTGTGACTTAGCTGCAACAAGATTAATCTTTCCTTTTACTTCTTTCTAGTATAGCATATATCCCTTTGTTTTGTAATTGTTTGAATACATTTTTTACTCTCTTGGGAAGCAAATCTAACTTATTTTTACTTTTCTATTACTGAAGATGAATGGTGGCTAACATAGTAAACACCCATTAATTTTTTTTCTTGAACCGAATGTCATTGTGAGATAGTATAATAAAGAAGTAGGTTAGTTTTAAGCTACCTTAATAAAATTCAGTGTTCAGATTCAAGGAGACATTGAGCCCACCAACACACCTTCATTGGTCAGATCACATCAACAGTATTATATCTGGGATATCACACTTTAAAGGATGGCATTGAAAAACTAATAAAATGCCAACAGAGTAGAAATTACTGTCATATGAAGATTGAAAACTGGAAAGTTTAGCTAAAAGGAACAAGTCCTAATTGTTACCTTCAAATATTTAAAGGGCCACAATATTGAAGAATTGGAATATTGTTTTAAACTGGAAACCTCTGAGAGGAGGACAGCCAGAATAGCAGCATATTAATATTTGTGGGTTTAAAAAGTAGGAATGGACCCAGCGTGGTGGGTCACACCTGTAATTTCAGCACTCTGGGAGGCTGAGGCAGGTAGATCACTTGAGCCCAGGAGTTCAAGACCAGCCTGGGCAGTGTGGCAAAACCCCATCTCTACAAAAAGTACAAAAAATTAGCTGGGTGTGGTGGTATGCTTCTGTAGTCCCAGCTACTCAGGAGACTGAGGTGGAAGGATCGCTTGAGCCCAGGAGACAGAAGCTGCAGTGAGCTGTGGTCGCACCACTGTATTCCAGTCTGGGTAATGGAGTTAGACCCTGTCTCAAAAAAACTAAAAAATAAAAATAAATAAAAAATAAAAAATAGGAATGTATATGTATATATATGTGTATGACATGTTTTGAAAAATAATCAAATTTTTAAGTAATTTTCTTTTTTTTATTTTTCATGCAGTGCCTTTATTAAGTCAAAATGTACTATGACTTATGGTTTTAATCAGAATTTTAGTTGAATCATTTAATCTATCTAGATGGATTAATTTTCTGTAGAAATCAGTTAATTTTTATGTGTGTTAAATTTTGAAATAAAGTAACTAAAAAAAAGTTTTTAAATTAGAAACCTCAACTTTCTTTAGCTCCAAAGACATTTTTCTTTAAAATTTTACATGTTTTTGACCAAAAATGTAGGGATGTTTTTCATCCCTATACCTTTTTTTTTGGTATTATAAAACTGGTAAATTAAGGATTAGAGCTTCCCAATTTGCTTAATTATGTGTGGCATTTCTAGCTTATTTTATATGCCCTTTTGCTTTTTCAGTATAGGGAAAATAAATATAAGGCAGATTAGGCTTAAAGAGAATTCAGAGGTATTTACTTACTTGTAATGTGCATATAGGCACCACCAGAGAATCCTAAAGTAATTTTGTATCTAAATGGTAAAAATTAGCTGAGAAAAGTGGCACACACCTGTAATCCCAGCTACTCAGGAGGCTGAGGTGACACTTTTTAAAAAAACATTGTAAAAATTGCATAGAAAGTGTCCAAATATTTATTTTTATTGAAAGAATTTGTCTTCTGATATGCTGTGTGAGAATTAAAGTGACCTTAATGTACTTTGTACCTGACATGAATGTGTAGTTAATGCATGCCAATGGGTGGTTTGGGTGCTTTAGAATAGCCAACTCATCTCAAAAATTTTTTACTTATTATCTTTCACTCATATATTTTTTTCCCTTTCTGTTCCATTTTTAGTAACTCTTCTACATAAAAATTTTTTACTGGGCTGGGTGCAGTGGCTCACACCTATGATCTCAGCACTTTGGGAGGCTGAGGTGGGTGGATCACCTGAGGCCAGGAGTTTGAGACCAGCCTAGCCAAAATGGTGAAACCCTGTCTCCACTAAAAATACAAAAATTAGCCAGGCATGGTGGCTTACGCCTGTAATCCCAGCTACTCGGGAGACTGAGGCAGGAGAATCACTTGAACTTGGGAAATAGAGGTTACAGTGAGCCAAGATTGTGCCACTGCACTCCAGCCTGGACAAAAGAGTGAGACTCCATCTAAATAATAATAATAATAATAATAGTGTATTGGCACAGGGCTGCTAATTGTAGAATTTTTGCTTTAGTGCTTCTGGAGGGTCTTGACATTTACATTGTCTGCTCTATGCCAGGTGCTATCTTTGACTCCTAACTTACACAATCTCATATAATATTTGTAAAGAGGTTATATAAAGGCTAATGCTAATTTAAAAATATGTGTTGTTTAATTAATTTGATCTAGTATGCTCTAGTATCAGCACAATTAAGACAGTTTATGTTATATCAAGCATCTTTTCTTGCAATAAGAAAAATGAGTTAATTTATCTCAATTATATAGATTTTAAAAACATAGACCAATGTGATAGAGGCACTTCATACAAACTCTGAAAAATATTATATGCGATTTAGTCACTTGTTAGTAGCCCTATTTACATAGTTATTTGTTAGAAATAATGAAAAAAGAAAGACTTTATTTTGTTTAAACCTTCATTTAAAATATTCTAATTTTGAATTAAAACTTTTTGCAATGTTTTGGAAATTTTATGCTGTAACAATCTAAACATAATGTGAAAAACAGGAAGATTTCATATTAAAGTCTCTTCATTTTCCTAAACCTAGGATGGTAAGCGGATGTTTGGCACCTATTTTCGTGTTGGTTTTTATGGAACCAAGTTCGGGGATTTGGATGAACAAGAATTTGTTTACAAGGAGCCTGCAATAACCAAACTTGCAGAGATATCTCACAGATTGGAGGTGAATGCTGTGGTGGTTCATAAAATGTCATCTTTAGTTTGTATTCTCTCTGATGATTAGACTTTCAGATCCAGATCTAATCATTTAATAAGCCAGATCTTGCCAAATAAACTACTCTGTTAGAGAATAAGGATTTTTAATAGTTACAATAATACTCTTTCAAATCTTTTATGGCAGCTATAAAATAGTAATACTGTTTATTTTTTGAGACTATTTTCACACATATTTTGGAAACCCCTGTATCCTTCAGAATTACTGCGACTTATGGAGAAATATATAGTATAATCCCACATTTTGTTGAAAAAGAGTAGGTAATAATTAAACTAGAACCAGAACCCCAAGAAATTTCTGACCCAAGCGTATTATCTCTTTGGCTTAACTGGTTCCTGGTGAGATATCTTTAGAATGTAAAAGCCTGAAATCACACCTTAAAAACACTTCCTTTAACCTTTATAACTTCTTAATTTTCACCATAAATGATTGAGTTTCATATTTACTGGGCTAACCAGTTTTTTTCTGTTATGGTTGTTCTTTCCAACCTTTCTCTGTTTTTGTTACTCAAAGTATAGTGGATGGACCAGAAACATTGGGATCACCTGGGAGATTGTTTGAACTGCAGAACCTCAGACCCCACCCCAGCCCTTCTGAATCAAAGTCTGCATTTTAACAAGATCCCAGGCGATTTCTATTCACAAAGCAGTTGGAGAAGTAGTACTCTAGGCTTGTTTTTATTCTCACTGATGTTAATTTCTTGATGTTATATTCCTATTGGTGACTTCTCTGGCCAAACTGACATAAATTGGCTCAAACTGTTACTTTTTATTTTTCAAGAGGTTAGGTGTAAGTCTTGGGAAATATTAATTGAGACTGTATTTATCAAACTTAATTATAAAAATCACCTTTGGGAGAGCAGTGGGGGTTTCTCCTTTGAAGATTCAAATTCGATTTTTCCTTTTGAATAGCTTCATCCTTTGCCCACGCTGCTACTCAGTGTCATGTGGAATAGTCACTATATTCTTGACCTAAGGTTGCCTTTTCAAAATGTAAACCTATATGAACTTCAACAGGTCAATGCTTTTATTTGAAAATTCTGGGATTAAAAAAATAGTTCCTAAAAATGGATGTTTATTCATTGACCCATGGTCTGTAAAAAGCAAGCCACAACAAACTCAGTAAAACTAAGATTTTTATACATCAACAATAATGAGTTTCTTTTGTCTTTGCTTTCTGTTCCCTTTTGTTTCTCTTGAGGACTTCTTGTGGAATCCTGTGTTTTTATTGGAGAAAATTGTTGTTTTCTGATATTTTGTGTTATTTAAAGTTTGTGGATTGGAATAATGTCAAATAAATATGGACCGAGACCATGCTAATTTATAAGCTAGTATAATTTTTATAAGCCTAAATCATTATGTTTTAATTATTGATATGATTGTACAGAATGCACTAATTCTCCTAATTTTGCTCAGGAGTCACCCTCAGGCCTTCTCTGTTTCCCAATCTCTTTAACTTCATATAAAATGTTTCTTTTTCTTTATTGTAGGGATTTTATGGAGAAAGATTTGGAGAGGATGTGGTTGAAGTAATCAAAGACTCTAATCCTGTAGACAAGTGTAAATTAGATCCTAACAAGGTATAGTTGATTCGACTATGATGACATGTAGGCATCTCTTTGAGATCCTCTGTGCAATTTTAAGAAAGACTAAATGATGACTTAACAGTGAAGAAATGAAGTACTTTTTTCTTTCCTAGGCGTATATTCAGATTACCTATGTGGAGCCATACTTTGACACATATGAGATGAAGGACAGAATCACCTATTTTGACAAAAATTATAATCTTCGCCGATTCATGTACTGTACACCCTTTACTTTAGATGGCCGTGCCCATGGGGAACTTCATGAACAATTCAAAAGGAAAACCATTCTGACTACATCTCATGCCTTTCCTTATATTAAAACAAGGGTCAATGTCACTCACAAAGAAGAGGTAAGTCCATAAATGAGCAAACAGCATTAGTGAAGCAAATATATTCAAGCCATGTAACAACAACTTAGATGTACCAGAAGATATGTACCATCCCTTACACCATAACATATTAGAACTTTACCCATTTTTGAGTCCTTAATTTTTTACTTCTTTTCTAAGATCCTAATTCACCCCCAGCTTTTTCTTTAAAAGGTTGATTTTTTTTTTTTTTCATTTGGGGATCCAAGTTTGGAATTTTATTGTTACATAAAAGTTTACAATTGATTTTTTTTTCTAATTTCAGTTGATTATACATAAAGTTCATTAAATAGTATTCAGTCAGTACACCAATTTAACAGATGCTCTTTTACTCAGATCATCTTAACACCAATTGAAGTTGCTATTGAGGATATGCAGAAAAAGACACAGGAGTTGGCATTTGCAACACATCAGGATCCTGCAGACCCCAAAATGCTTCAGATGGTACTCCAGGGATCTGTAGGCACAACAGTGAATCAGGTTAGTGCTTTTTGCTAGCACTGTATGATTTAAGCTGTAAATATGATTTGGGATAATTTCAGATCACAAATAATTGTTAAGTCAAATGAAAAGCATCTACCTTCTCTACTGCCTGTATTTTTCTATCTATGCATTCTTATATATTCTATTAAGAAGGAATCAATTCACTTAAAATAATATTTCCTTAAAAAGCTTGTACTAAAAGACTGTGATCTTTAAAACAAAGACTCGTTTTCCGAGCTGTGCACATATATGTGAACCTCTACTATGTTAGGTTCTCCCTGATGTTACCTTCCCCAGATCTCCTTTACAATAAGCTGTGAGGATTAAATAAGTGATATGGAATCATTTTTTTTAATTTGAATAATATAGTGACACAATAAATTACTGTTCTTTTGTCATATGCAGATTAGAAGCCATCCCCATTAGTCTTTGTGATTGGTTCATTAAAATTATCTTGTTGATGATTTTAGGCATGGCCCCAGTCTTAGGAATATTCCATGATAAGGGAAAATTCAGAAAGGCTTCAAGTAAGATTTCCTTTACCATGTCTTAACTACTTTTCAGATTAAAGGAACAAAGCCAAAAAATGCCCCACCAAAACTGAAATAAATACCTTAAGACCTTTACCTCCTAGAAACATGCTTGATTTTAAGGTTTTATCTGCAAATGATGTAGCTTACAAAAGATATCTTCTTTAACACAATGTCCGGAGCACCTTTGGAATACTGAGGGAAGCTGTTTTAGCAAAATCAACTCTGATAATCAGCGGACTGGCAAATGTAGTAGCTTGACAACTTTTACATCCTGGATCCATTTTAAAATGTGAAAAATACAAAGCAAAATACATTAATGAACACAGTAGTCAGTCCTTGAGTTCCTGTTCTGTTTTTTTGAAGAATAAACTAATAAGAAGTTAATTACAGTAGATAAGAATGTAGGATGAAATTAGAAAATACTGAAACAGTCTGTCTGTGGAGTTTTAATATAGACGTAGGCACATATGTATTAAGCTTAAATGTAGCCATGTCAGTGCTAAGAAAAATCATTTGAGTAAATTCTGTCTGTGATTTTAGAGATAACAAAAAAAAACCAAAAAACACTTCTTGTTTTATTTTCTTATTTTGCAGGGGCCTTTGGAAGTTGCCCAGGTTTTTCTATCTGAAATACCTAGTGACCCAAAGCTCTTCAGACATCATAATAAACTGCGACTCTGCTTTAAAGATTTTACTAAAAGGTATTCAAGGCTTTCTGCATCAAGATCTTCAAACTGAGACTGTCCAATACCACAGTATGACATAAGGGCCTTAAGGAACTATGGAAAAGAAAAAATAGGCCAGGCACAGTGGCTTACACCTGTAATCTCAGCACTTTGGGAGGCTGAGGCAGAAGAATCATTTGAGGCCAGGAGTTTGAGACCAGCCTGGAAAACAAAGCAAGACCCCCTCTCTATGAAAAATATTTAAAAATTAGCCAAGTGTAGGTTGTGTACCTGTAGTGTCAACTACTCAGGAGGCTGAGACAGGAGAGTCGCTTGAGCTAGGAGTTGGAGGCTGTAGTAAACTATGATTGTACCTGCACTCCAGCCTGGGTGACAGAGCAGGAGCCTGTGTCAGAAAGAGAGAGAGGAAAAAAAAGAAACAGAAAAGTGGTTGACAATAATAAGTAATCTGTGTAGAATTTACTATTCTTTAATAGCATATACTTATTCCCCTCTCCCACAACCCTACCATACTCCATAGTGCCGTATATTTAATTTTAAAAATTAGAAAAGCCAAGGCTCAGGAAATTTTATTAACTTGAAACTACTATTAGACCATTTATCTTAAAAGCTACTATTTATTGTGAATCTTCAATATTTGAGTTTCTGCTTCCTTCCCCCGAGGGAACTTACAAGCAGTAAACTTGGGAGCAAAAAACTTGTGTTCAGATCCTGACCTTACCATTGATTGTGCTTTTCCAGGTCACTTAATTTCTATGATCCTGCATTTTCTAATCTTATAAAGTAAGGATAATGATATCTACTTTATCTATAGGGAAGCTGTGCAGATTAGGTGAAATAATTTATGGGTGTGTCAGTCCCCAAGACTGTCCCCAATTTCAGTGATTTGCTAGGAGGACTCACAGGACTCAGCATATAGTTATACTACTGGTGCCTGTGATTTATTGCACTGAAAGAATACCAAGTAAAGTCAGCAAAGGGAAAAAGTGTGTGGAGTGAAATCTGGAGGAAACCAGGAGCAAGCTTCAAAGGGTCCTCTGCCAGTCAAGTCACATAGGACTTACTTAATTCCTTCAGCAATGAGTTGTGACAGCAGGTGTGAAATGTGGTAACCTCATTAGAGACTCAGTGCCAAAGGTTTTTATCAGGGTCTGGTCATGTAGGCACCCTCTCTCTGACATGTACCAAAATTCTAGACTCTCAGAAGGAAAGCAAGTAATTCAGCAGGTGAACTGTGATAGTAAAAGAAAGAAACCTGTTTCCTGCTTTTAGAATTGACTGATTTCTGGTGTTAATTTTATTATTTGGGAGGTTTAAGAAAACAACAACAAAATACACCCTACCATCTTTGTAAGCCAGATGATTATGGAACAGTACATACTTCTTTAGGTCATAGACATTTAGTAACAGACAATCAGGTGCTTTGTTTCTTGCTTTTGTTTTTGGAATATTTTACCATGACTACAATTCTTAAATGTCCTCCTTTTGTATACATTTACTAGAATGAATTCCTGTAGTCAACAGGTCTCCTTAAGTGTTGCTGTCTGTAGAGGAGGTTTTCTCCTTTTATATTGCAAAAAACAAACAAGAGGTCGGGCATGAGTGGCTCACGCCTGTAATTCCAGCACTTCGGGAGGCCGAGGCGGGCGGTCAGGAGTTCAAGACCAGCCTGGCCCACATGGTGAAACCCCTCTCTACTAAAAAATACAAAAATTACCCAGGTGTGATGGTGGGCACCTATAATCCCAGCTACTTGGGAGGCTGAGGCAGGGAGAATTGCTTGAACCCGGAAGGTGAAGGTTACAGAGAGCCGAGATCATGCCACTGCACTCCAGCCTGGGCAACAGAGCGAGACTCCGTCTAAAAAAAACAAACAAAAAAAACACGGAACAACAGCAACAAAAACTACATAATATAAACCTTACAAAGGAGTTATAGGCAATACTACATTTTTAATTTTTGGTGTTACCATTCAGTATGGTAACTAAGTAGTATGCCTTTATGCATATATATTTTATAATAGCCATATGTATAATCTTAAATTATTTTTCAATTAAAGTTTAAACTGTTATTCTAGTGGTTATATTCTTCAGATTAATATACTGTAGTCATAATATACTTATAATCTTAAATTCTTATTTTTTAATTAGAGTTTAAATTATAATTCTAATGGTTACGTTATTTCCTAAAATTAATATACTAGAATTTAAGTTGAATTTGAATGTGGTATAGTTTATACTACAATGTATCTTTTTCTTTTGTTAAATTAAAATTTCCAGCATGAGATGACTGGGGCACAGTACCTGAACATTTTTTGTTTTAGAGACAAGGTCTCACTTTGTCACCCAGACTCTGTAGTGCAGTGACACAATCACAGCTCACTGCAGCCTCGAACTCCTGGGCTCAAGGGATCCTCCTACCTCAGCCTTATGGTATGCACCACCATACCTGGTTATGTTTGGTTGGATGGGGGGTTTTGGTAGAGATGAAGTCTTGCTATGTTGCCCTGGCTAGTCTCGAACTCTTGACCTCAAGCGATCCTCCCACCTCAGCCTCCCCAAGTACTAGGATTACAGGGAAGAGCCACCATGCCCAGCCTACATGAACATTTTTATTGGCTCACAATATGTAGTACATTCTAAAAAGTGTCTGAGTACAGTTGACCTTGAACAGCACAGAGGTTGGGGTGCCAATCCCTTGTACAGCTGAAAACCTGTGTAAACTTTTGACCCCCCCCCAAAACTTAACTAATAGCCTGCTATTGACTGGAAACCTTACTGATAATATAGTCATTAGGTACATAGTTTGTATGTTATATATATTACATACTGTCTTCTTACAATAAAGTAAGCTAGAGAAAAGAAAATGTTATTAAGAAAATCATAAAGAAGGCCAGGCACGGTGGCTCATGCCTGTAATCCCAGCACTCTGGGAGGCCAAGGTGGGTGGATCATGAGGTCAGGAGTTCGAGACCAGCCTGACCAAGATGGTGAAACCCCGTCTCTAATAAAAAATACAAAAATTAGCTGGGCACAGTGGTGAGCATCTGTAATCCCAGCTACTCGGGAGACTGAGGCAGGAGAATCACTTGAACCCGGGAGACGGAGTCTGCAGTGAGCCAAGATCACACCACTGCATTGTAGCCTGGGTGACAGAGCAAGACTCCATCTCAAAAAAAAAAAAACGAAAATCATAAAGAAGAGAAAATGTATTTTACTCTTCCTAAGTGGAAGTGGATCATCATAAAGGGCTTCATCCTCCTTGCCTTCATGTTGAGGAGTCTGTGGAGGAGGAGGAGGAAGAGGAAGAAGTGGGGTTGATCTTGCTATCTAAAGAGTGGCAGAGGCAGAAGAGGTGGAGGAGGTATCAGGGGAGGCAGAAGAGGCAAGCACACTCAGTATAACTTTACAGACATAATTTTTTTTTTAATTTCCGTAGGTTTTTGGGGAACAGATGGTATTTGGTTACATGAGTAAGTTTTTTTTGTTTTGTTTTGTTTTGTTTTTTGTTTTGTTTTGTTTGAGACAGAGTCTCGCTGTGTTGCCCAAGCTGGAGTGCGGTGGTGCAATCTTGGCTCACTGCACCTTCTGCCTCCCGGGTTCAAGCAATTCTTCTGCCTCAGCCTCCTGAGTAGTTGGGATTACAGGTGCCCACCACCATGCGCGGCTAATTTTTTTATTTTTAGTAGGGACAGAGTTTCATCATGTTGGTCAGGCTGGTCTTGAACTCCTGACCTTGTGATCCACTTGCCTCGGCCTCCCAAAGTGGAGTAAGTTCTTTAGTAGTGATTTGTGAGATTTTGGTGTACCCATCACCCGAGCAGTATACACTAAACCCAGTTGATAGTCTTTTATCCCTCATCCCAGTCTTTTATCCCTCATCCCTTCCCACCCTTTCCCACCAAGTCCCCAAAGTCCACTGTATCATTGTTATGCCTTTGCATCCTCATAGCTTAGCTGCTGCTTAATGAGTGAGAACATACAATGTTTGGTTTTCTCATTCCTGAGTTACTTCACTTAGAATAAATAATCTTTAATCCCATACAGGTTGCTGCAAATGCCATTTACTCATTCCTTTTTATGGCTGAGTAATATTCCATCATATGTATACACCATAGCTTCTTTATTCATTGATTGATGGGCATTTGGGCCAGTTCTACATTTTTGCTATTGCAAATTGTGCTGCTGTAAACATGCATGTGCAAGTATCTTTTTCATGTAATGACTTCTTCTGAGTAGATACCCAGTAGTGGGATTGCTGGATCAAATAAATGGTAGTTCTACTTTTAGTTCTTTAAGGAATCTCCACACTGTTTTCCATAGAGGTTGTACTAGTTTACATTCCCACCAACAGTGCAGAAGTATTCCCTTTTCACTGCATCCACACCAGTATCTTTTTTTTTTTTTTTTTTTTTTGGTTATGGCCATTCTTGTGGGAGTAAGGTGATATTGCATTGTGGTTTTGATTTGCATTTGCCTGATCGTTAGTGACGTTGAGCATTTTTTCATATGTTGGCCATTTGTGTATATTCTTTTGGGAATTGTCTGTTCATGTCCTTAGCCTACTTTTTGATGGAATTGTTTGTTTTTTTCTTGCTAATTTGTTTGTGAGTTCATTGTAGATTCTGGATATTAGTCCTTTGTCAGAGGTATAGATTGTGAAGATTTTCTCCCACTCTGTGGGTTGTCTTGTTTACTCTGCTGACTGTTCCTTTTGCCATACAAAAGCTCTTTAGTTTAATTAAGTCCTACCTATTTATCTTTGTTTTTATCGCATTTGCTTTTGAGTTCTTGGTCATGAAATCTTTGCCTAAACCAATGTCTAGAAGGGCTTTTTCTGAAGTTAGAAGTAGTATAGAAGTAGTATAGTTTCAGGTCTTAGATGTAAGTCCTTGATCCATCTTGAGTGGATTTGTATAAGTTGGGAGATGAGGATCCAGTTTCATTCTCCTACATATGGCTTGCCAATTATCCCAGCATCATTTGTTGAATAGGGTGTCCTTTCCCCACTTTACG